CCCCCAACCACCCACACAGAACATCACAGAACGTGACCAAAGGCTTACGGCAATGAGTACAATGTACTGTTAATTACTTGATGTCTTTGCCCTTGATTGAAATAAAATCTGCCTTGGTCGTGTGTTAGACAGTCAGTACGAGTAGATCTAATTAAACTTTTAAAGTAAACTATTAATGTTAGTGTTAGCTCTCACTGGAAAAATTGAAGGCAAACGAGGCAGGGGAAGGCCCAGAAAAACCTACTTAAAGAACCTAAACAGATGGGTAATGGAGATAGATCAGCGGGTAACGTAGTTTTTTTTAAAGAGCATCTGGGCAAAGGAATGAATGGAGAACCATGATCGCCGATGTCTGCTGCAGATCTGGCACATTGTGATAATGATTAACGAGATAGAGTGATGCAGGTAAGGGTGTCGGCATCTCATCACTGATGTGTACCTTGATTTCTGCTCAAAATCAGGTTGCAGTGTCTTTTTGAAAAGAATTTAAAAAATCATACTCTGATTGTCGCGATAAGGTAATCTGGAAGAAGGTTATAATAATAAATAGGTAGAGGTGTATTAGGCCGTAGAAAACCCCTCATTAGACTGAAACTGACCAAAAGCCAAGATGTTGTCGACCGTTGTCCTAAAAATTGACCAAAGGCTAAAACAAGTAACCCCCGTCCTCTCCCCTCACCACCCACTCAGGTAGCGTGTCCGTAAATAAGATCAGAGGCTAAAGAAAACACCGCCTCCACTCCCACTCCCACTCCCAGGTAACCACCCGAAATGTCCAAGAATGTGACGGCAATACATTCATAAGGACGTATAGATTTACGTACATGCCGAATGCCAGCACCCCCCCCCCCACCTTCTCCATCCCCGTCCCAACTGCCCACTCAGCACGTCCAAGAACATAACCGATACATGCCAAAGCAAGCAGCCCCCGCCATCTCCCCTCACCTTTCTTCCGGGAGATTCCTCTGTGTGTTTGGCTTGAACCATGAGCTGGTTGTTCATTGTTTTCACCGTGATCTCCTCAGGCTTGAAATCTTTGCAGTCGAATCTGAAACAGGCGAACAACTCATTAAATAAATCACGTGCGCTTCTTCTTCTTCTTCTTCTTCTTTTTCAGGTGTATGGTTTCGAACAGGCATTTACGATCATAGTACCCCATTCCATACTGCTGTCAGTCCTCCTGATCAGCTCAGTTTTTGGTGATGTTTTTCATAAAGTCAGAAAGCTGTTCCGGCCATCTGTTTTTTGTTCACTGTTGTCCTCTGCACTTCTTTCTTTCTATCTTTCCATACAGCAGCACTTTGCTCTATTTATTCTAATTTGTTCTACCTATTCCGAGCGAATATCAATTGTCTTCTCCTTATGGTTCTAGTTAGAGACTTGAAAATTTCTTTAGATACCAGTGGCGTTCGCGTTGTAAAGGTAAGGCTACCAGTGCCTGCACGTATAAGACTATAGTGCGGTCAAAAACTCGCTGTGCAACTTGTCCCCAAATGTCTTCTTAACTGGATAATCAATGTCACCCATAATTTGCACAGCAGTTTGTATCAATTTATCTTAACTTAAACATATTTGTCCACAACAATTGAGGCTAAATTGATAAAACTCTTCTTCATAAATGTATATAAAATACGACAAGCCTCCTTCTCGCGGAAAATGGAAATGTTCACAGCACTTCCCACACATTTTGTATACGCATATGGCCTACGTCACAGCTAACCAAAGACACATTTTTATGGCAAAATTACGAGTACTTACAAGAAAACTAATTTTATAGTGAACACTTTCAGCACTAAAAGTTATCAAAACATGCATTCAATAACCATAATCTAGGGATTAGGAAAAAAAAATAACGCACTTGCTTTTAAAAGCGATATAATCTGCGGCTGTAAACCTTTTAAAATCTGTAGAAACCACCCTCCGGGATTTTTTATTAGTATTTATTAAGGAATTTTCTAGAATACAGCTAACAGGTGTTTACAACAATATTGATCTGCTAAAACAAATTGATATAACTGGCTATGTTAAAGCTGGTGAGTTTATGTTAGATAGTTGAGGAGATATTTGACAATAAGTTGCGCCACGAATTTTGACCGCACTGTAGTATAAGGCGTCAGTTCAGGACGTGCCTGTTGATGTCAGTTTTATCAAGTATTTCTCTTTACAGACCTGCAGAGGGATCACCCAAGCAAAAAGCAGAGACGAGCGGCTAAACAGATGAGCCAATGCAGAAACAGGAAGATCTCTCTTCGGGTACATGGACAAACACAACCTCAAAGACCCTTCGAACCTCTTCTGTAGAGCCGATGAGACTTTGATCTTCAGCGCCCGCACAGGACACTTACATACCAACAAGTACATTAACAGAATAAACCTCATTTGGGAACTCCATTGCAGACACTGTGACTACCACGAGGAGACCGTTGAACATCTTCTCCTTCACAGCCCAAACCTGGCAGCTCTTCGACGCAAGCTCCTACACACACCTACAGACTTAAAATCCTGCTGTACTCTGGGGTTGACCAAATGACAAGGACAAGTGGTTACTTAAGGGAGGCATTGCGCTGACAAGAGCTAAATGCTCGCAGCTAAAGGATTTGAAAACAACAACAACATCAAGCATCTCCGTCGGTCTGCTAACCTGTATCTCACTCAGGCCCGAGCGGTTAGCCCTGGCAGACAGGGGCAAAGCAGCCCGCCTCTTAATGTTCTAGATTGGACCAAAGCAAGAGGTGTTAAACATTTATGATCAGTAGGTCAGTCTGTCAGTGCCATTTTCTGAGACAGGATAAATTCTGAATTGTTTTTCAGACCCGTTGAAAAAAAAGGACCCCCTCCTCCCCGACGAAAAAAAAATAAAAAAAATAAATAATTCCCCAGAGCTTGTGGAGTAAAATAACGTTGCTACCTTTACTACTCACTTGCAAGTAAATATTTTCAGAAAGGCAAATTAGTTCAAAGCATGGGTTGCAGAGTTCGTCATAGTTTCATTTATTTCTGACTTCTTTTTTTCACCCAGCGTTTATAAATACCCCAGACGGTGTCACGTGACGACAGAGACGTGTGTCGGTATTTAGTCAAGACAACGTTACAGAACGAAAACTCCTTTTCTGCGCATGCAGTTCCGCTATTCCTTTGTCCCTCTCCAGTACAAGTAATGTAAATTTAAGGGGAACAACGGGTAAGGGGTATGCTAAGCTCGAACTTTAAAAACGAAGTATATATAGACCCTTGTAACCGGGAACAAAGTCACGAGGTATACAGACCCTGTTGGGGAAATCTTTTGTGAATCCGGAGAGAGAGAGAGAGAGAGAGAGAGAGAGAGAGAGAGAGAGAGAGAGAGAGGAGAGAGATGGAGAGAGACCGAAAAATAGAGAGGGTGACTGCTCGATTGAAATTATGACATTTTTCTTTTCTTCAAATAGTCTTATTCATTCCTCAAACTCCAAAACGGAGGAAAAGCGATCGTTCATAGAAAAGACATCTGCAATCTTCATTTAGATCTAGGTCTTGAAACTAGACCTATGCTTTATGTCTGTCTGTCTAGATCTAGACCTAGGCCATAGATCTAGAAGAAGCTAGGTCTACACTGAGCCAAGAGGGTGCTGAAACTTTCTGAAATCATAAAAGATTTTCCCTACCGGGTTTGTATACTTCGTCACTTTGTCCCCGGTTAACGGGCCTGTATTTTTTAATACACTCCCATTAATCCCTAAAAAAAAAGACCCTAACAACATTTTGCCCGGCGTCTCGAGAAATTACCTTGGTAACTAAAGAGGGTGGGACTTATAACAGCTACTAAAAACGTTGCCTCGCGAGAGTTTTGGCCCCTTGATATGAATATTGGGTCAAGTGGGGGAACGTGCTCTTTGACTTTCGCCCGCTTTTCTGTATCACTGCTGTGTGATGTCAAGGTGTCTCAGAGGCCCTCGAACCATGTAGGTTTTATATTTGGTCGTTCTCAAGCCTTGTTCCCATTGACGTTGTCTGTCAATGTCTCTTTTCCTTGGCATTCTCACGAAGCTGAATAGATCTGTCAGTGTCTCTGACCCACATTTCGGGTAATTTAATTTTGCCACGACTTCTGTATATTGGTCTGGCTAACCCAGATTTCGGGTGTTTCCTGAAATCTTGACCTACACCAAAAGTGGGCATTGGCCTAGCTATAGGAAAAGTTTGGTTTCAGTGATGTGTACGTATTTGTTTGGCTACAGAGAAAACTCTCCTAGTCTTTTAAAGAAACAGCAAACTTTCAAAGTTTTTTTAATGGGCTAACTAAATAAAAAAAATGGCTGACAATGCAGGTGAAGAGTTTACTACATTTCCCAGTTGAAAATGACCCTAAAGACTGATATTTTCATATCAGGCAATTTTTTTTCTTCAAATTTTGTCTGTAATGTATCAATTTTCCCTTGAGTACTGTTTCACATAATAGTACCAATCTGTTTCATAGAAAATGCATAAAATGTAATGCTCACATGGGTTCCGATAGGCTAGACCATTTAACCCAATGATAAAGAGTTGACAAGCTTGGTGTGTTAGCCCACTGTACAGGGGATAGACCATTTGTATACTTCGATGAAGGGTTAGTCCAGATAGATAGGTATGCCTTATTTTGGATGGGATGGCCTATTTCGCCCTCAGATTTGCTTCAAAAGTTTTCTGCATATCTGCACAACGTTTTTGTCTATTTTTTGATCGTGTAATTAACCGTCCGGAGTTTATACCGATACGACAGACAAGGTCATATCTGACTCATATGCAAAACCACTGAAGAGTTCATTTGAAAGTAGATACACAGGGATAGATTTCATGGGTACAAGAACTTTACCTTCGATCTTTTTCAAAACAGCAATTTTCGGGGTAGCCACCTTGTGCTTAAAGGCGAGCTTTTTTTTCCAGCTTAAGCTCTACTTGCACGCCGGAAAGCTAACCCAAAGATGAAATAGTTGTTTCAAGCATTGTGGTGAATGTTTTCAATTTAAGAAACATATTATTCCGAAATATGGCGAGCACCTCACACGCTACACTAATGTGAGTTGAAGAATATTGTTCACGACTGATTTCGAAACATATGTTTGAGTAGTTCAGTTCAGTTCAGCTGCTTCAGGTGTTTTTCTTTTTCATGATACATGCCAAGGAACAAATTATCATGGCTGGGGGCTGTGCGTCACAAAGGCTAGACGTATACAACCGGGAAGAACTGGTTTATGAGAGAATAACGTGAAGGCTAAGCTTTGAAAAAGACCGACCACCTAGAACCCCCCCCCCCCCCCGCCTCCGCCAGAAAAAAAAGCTGGTGAAATAATACTATTCCTGTATGCAAAGTATACTGAGGGTGGTGACAAGCTTAAAAGGGAACCCTTCCTCCCCCTCCCCCTCCACCTCCCCCATCACCCCCCCCCACTTCTTAAAGCAATTCAGAAAAAAAAACGAATATAAAATCCCCCCCCCCACTTACAATATGGAAAAAACGAATATAAAAAGTATGTCTTTAACAGCTGAACGTGTTGAATTGTTGCTAATGGAAGTATCATCGTGGATGCTTACATGGAGACGGGTATCATGGGAATAAGACATTTCCATCTAAATGTAGGTGTTTTACAGCCCAAACAACACCATTTAGATAAGTTGGGAGGCGGGCCAAAAGACTCGCTAGAAATCGAACTGAGGTCTATGTGTGTATGCGTTCTTTAGTCAACACTTGGTATAATGTTACGAGTGAAAACTGTATCTGAAAGAATTGTTGTACAATCAATGGGCCGCCACGTATGAAACGTGTCACTATATTTCCTAAAACAAACAGAACACTAACTAATCAAATCATGCCAACCTGTGACCGTACCTCAAAGACAGCCTCTTGTTGCCTTCAGCATCGCTGACGATTGGCCTCTCGGGCTTGATCATGCTGGAACCAAAGTCGTTAAAGTCCAGAGCTTTCAGGGTGAACATCTCCTTACGCATGCGCTCGAGCTCCTTGTCAAACTCGTCCCACTCGGAGTCCATGCCCTTGAAGGCATCGCTGAACACTTTGCGCTGACGTTCGAAAAAGCTCCAGGTTTCTCTACGGAGTGGGACAAGGTGCTCCATTGTGGACTGTGATTGGCTAGGGATTTACGGGAGAGGAAGAATGGAACCCAAGGCGTTTTCTGTACAAAATCTGCAAAGATAAGATAAGATAAGATAAGATAAGATAAGATAAGATAAGATAAGATAAGATAAGATGAGATAAGATGAGATGAGACGAGGTGAGATAAGAAGAGAAGATAAAATAAGGTAGGATAAGATGAGGTAGAGGGCCATTTTTCGTGGTCTTACCTCAGAATCTGAATTGCACCTTACGTTCATAGAAAAATTTCAATGAATAGAAAAATAAAGCTAACGACCTCAGACGCATCTCTCAATTCATTTACAGGAAAGATGAGTACACTTATTCGAAATAAGGGATTAGTGAAGACATTGGAGTGACTTGGAGTATATCTGCAAGAACGGATAGATTATTGTAAATTCTGACTTCATGAAATAATCAATAATATATGATATAACAGAAGCAACTCAAAGAAAAGCACGTTGTTGGCGTAAATACTTTTGTAACTAGCTATTGCTACATCCATTTTGTCCTTTTTTTTTGCTAATTCAAAGTCTTTTGGATGTATCCCCCCCTACTGCCCCCACCTCCTCAATGAATACACAATAATGTTCCTCAGTTAGGCCGGTCCCAGGGTGGCTCTAAGAGTCTGACCTGTAGCTCGCCTAGCTCGCACCGTGCAAATGAACGTATACCTTATCGTTTGCCTTAGCAGCGTCGCTGTATGGTCTGTCTGTTGTCCGCTGAGCTGCGCGACGCGTCAGACGTGCTATTCAACTGTGTTGTAAAACACGTCAGACATGTGTCGCACGCAGCCTTGTTTCGTGTTTATTTTCGACTGAAATTCTTCACAGAACCTCAAAATCAGCAAGAAGTAAGTATTATTAGGCGCTTTACTGTTAGATATTGATCAACACTTGACTACAAAATCCCAAGAAATACACTTTATCCTACAATAAGATTTCGAATCGAGAAGCTGACCTAGTTTCCACAGATTACATTCATAGGCCTGTCTGTGTGCTTCTAGCCTAGTGCGGCTGTGCTGGCACGCAGAGTGCGATTGGCGAGCTACAGGTCAGACCTACAGAGCCACTCTGCGGGGGGTTGGCGGGTGCTCTGGTGTGATCTGCTCCTTCTTTCCTATCAAACACCTATCATCCTTATCTACCCTCCTTCTTTTTTATGTTTGTTACTCGCTTGTAACACCTCTAATCTTCTGGCGCTCATATGACCTTACGCAGTTGCGAGCGCCGAAAAAACTCTACTAAAACAAAAAACAAAATAAGAGCCACTCTGGGAACGGCCTTAGTTGTGTTATACAATTACACAGGCAGATAGATAGATAGATAGATAGATGGATGAATGGATGGATGTTTGGATGGAAGGATGGATGGATGAATGGACGGACGGACGGACGGACAGACAGACAGATATATAGATAGATAGATAGATAGATGGATGGACGGTTGGATGGATGGATGGATGGATGGATGGATAGACAGATATCATGGAGACCCAAATGTAGCCCCACGGACTGTGGAGGATCTGAATATGTGTGGGTTACTAGGTCAAGTCATTTCTGACTGGGAGTCCCACGTTTATTTTTACCATACCCCCACATACTAAGTTCACATATCCCCAATTGAACATCTGCGAGGTGTTTTAGCTTTAGTGAGAATTTTACTTACGGTATTACAACACAGTATGGTTACAAGAGAGTAACAAACACAAAGAAGAAAAAGGAAGGATGAGGGCGATATACAAATAATAATATTTGAGAGGAAAGAAGGAGCAAATCACACCAGAGCAATCGCCAACCACTCGCCCTGCGAGGCTACGCATGGATATCAAAAGTCAAAGAGGGAAATGATAAAGAATAGACGTTATCCTCTCAACAGAGTGTGTGGTGTAGCGGTTAGGAGCCTGGCAATCGCACGCAGTAGACGCGAGTTCCATTCCCGATGGATAAGAATTACTATCGAGTATCTCCGTCTTTGTGCAAGAACGTTGTGCCCCTCTCAGTCCTAGTTGGCTCTTACAGACATGGTCGAAACAGTCTGCATCCTAAATTACCGAGTGTCTAAAGAAAAAGAAAGACCCATGTAAAGCGAAATAGTTTGGTCATCTTTGGAAACATTATATTTTTAAAACAACTTCAAATAAACGAAATTCAACCAGGGGGACCTCATATTTGTCAATGTGAAAAAAAAAATCAGAAAAAAATTCTAAAAATATCAAACAAAATTTTTTAAAAGCCTCAATTTTGTGAAAAAAAACGCAAAACTTTGCAACTTCTTAAAAATCATCCATGTCGGTTTATTTCAAATGGTCACTATGTGTGTGTTTAAAACAACTGTATACTAACCTAATATTGCATGCCCAAATAAGGTAGCTAGTTAAATTGTAGGCTTCAGGTGTTGACCACATTATTATCTCTCCATGCAAGCTCAAACACGCCACTAGATATATTTAGAATAACCCTGCGGTATGTCTCTGGGTAAATTCCCTAGACCTCCTGTTCAACAATGAGTTTCAGCTGTTGGATTGTTAGCGGGTTTTTAGAAAAGTATGTCAGTCAGCAAACTCTAAAATAAATAATAGAAGTGTTCAGGTCAAGGGAATAAAAGTGACCATTCATTCATTGAAAATTTTCGACTCATAACCGTCATCCAAATCTTCCTTGTAATCGTGAGGGGCCACTTTTGACCTTCGGAGTGTGGCCCCATTCCATCGCAACTCATCCCCCTCAACAACTCAACACCCTCTCCTCCCTAAACTTCTAAACTATCTCAGCACGGCGAGATGTCCATCTGGTGTAATTGTGATAGTGTTACCTCTTGTTCTGAAAGCAGAACAGGCCGATCACGCCACTGTTACTGAATGCTTTCAAGATTTAAAATTTGGAAAAAACAAGACCACACAATTTCATGCGGCACGTATTGACCTTCTGATTGGGTTTTTGGTCATACTTTTAATCGAATGTCCCC